CCCCAAAACCCCAAAACCCCAAAACCCCAAAACCCCAAAACCCCAAATGGGCTAAAAATGTTGAATTTTTATGACTGAGAGCTTAAGGCAAAAATGTTGTATCATGTTTTTAGAGTGTCAAGCTTTGACTTTACCTCCAACATCTGCTTTTGCTCATCAATTTCAGTGTCAACTTTAGTATAAAGCTCCTTGAACTTCTTGAAGACCTCTTCTGAATGTCCAATCACTCATGAGTACATATCAATGACTATCTTGGCTACTTCAACGAGGATATCCGAGAACCTGTAATCAGAGATTTTCCAGATGAGGAAGTCTAGTAGCAAGATTAACTCCTCTTCAGATCTGTTTGCTATAGCTATCTCAAGAGAACTTCTCTGGATAAGTTCTTCGATCAAACTCACAGTGATATCAGTACTTCTCTTCTCAAGGGCTGAATTCAGAGCATTTTTGTACTGAAATTTTTTGAGATATTTCTCAAATTTCTGCAGATTGATCTTCTTGCGACTCTTGGAAATAATGTCGTCCATACCAGACTCTTTGGTATATTGACCTCTATAGAAATGCTTGTAGCCCTTGCTTGTCTGAACTAGGTGATCTTTTGACAGAAACTTGTCCATCATGGCTTCAGGATCGATATCGAGATCCTCTTCATCCTCATCAGGTGTAAACTTCTTTGACCTGATCAAAAGGGTTCCATTCATCAACCCAAGAGCATAGTTTTGGCCATCTGAAGAGATATCAAATGATAATACTTCAGAAGGAAGTTTGACAGTGTACATGACCTTCTCATTGACTAGGTCATGGAACTTGAGATGACAGTCAGCACCAGCAGAAATCAATCTCTGCTTGGCACTATCATATCTCACATTAAAGATGCTCTTCTGATGTGCATTAATAGTTCTGACGATTTCATCTGAGTTTCTGATATCGATTAGTGAAATATAGTTCCCATTTGCTATAGCATAATTATACTCATCAATTCTTGTAAAATTTTCGATTGGATCACTCATCTCAAGATAATAGTTGAACGAATTGCTATCTAGTTTGTTCCTGACATCCCAAAGCTTCACCGTTTTATCGTAACTGGTGGTCATCAGCGTGTTCTGGTCATGATAACTAATAGCTTTGACATAATCGTTATGAGCATCTTCAATAATATGCTGAGGATCTTTAGTTGCAAGTTCCCAAATAGCCACATCATTCTCATCAGCACAGGAAGCAAGGTTGACCTTATTTGAGTTAAAAGCAACCGAGTTAATAGAATTCTTATGATGAGTGAAAGTCCTCAAATTAAGTCTCTTCTTAGTCTGGAAAATCTGAACTAGTCCTTCCTTAGTTCCTGTAGCAAGAAGATCCTTCGAATCTCTGAGCCTGCATGTAGTCACAACATCGTTGAACTTGAACAGAGTGTTGATTGCTTTGACATCACTCTCAAAAAGCCTCTCTGTGATCTTATAGATATCCACCTTTGCAGAGACTGCTACACAGAGATAATCAGGCATGTCATTGCAGAAAGCGACATCCATAATTGAATGAGTGTTTTTCTGCTTGACCACATCCTTGTACTTCTTCCAGTATCTAGCCTCAGCTGGATTCTTGTACGTCTTCTTCGTATATTTCTTGACCTGTAACTTTTGGAATGCTTCAGACATTTTATTTTTGTAATGTTTTTGGGGTTTTGGGGTTTTGGGGTTTTGGGGTTTTGGGG